TTGTAACTTCAAATGGTTGCGAGTTGAGGGCTATCTGCATCTATCATTTTTAATATCAGAATTGAAATGGGTCTCTCTGCATTTGTGAATGCAGAAGAATGAAGAATAAAAAAAATAAAATGCAGTTCAACTTTAGTATTTTGATATCATACAACATATTTTTATAGAACAGATCAGATTTCTTCAGCAAAGAACCAACCTTCAAATCACTGTCAATTTCCAGGCTGGCATAATGTAACTGATGTGTATTGCTGAAATCATCTGATTTGATAAATCAGCAATGTCTGATTTAATGGACAATCAGGAAAAAGAGATACCCTTCTCTCCTATATTGTTCCATTAAATGAAGAATAAAATAATGAAGAATAAAAAAAGAATAAAGTTCTAAAATATATATTTGCTTTAGAGAGCAAGTCTTGACATATTGCTCAATGGCTGAAGCTCTCCTTAGGCTGAAAAAAGTACTACATCCATGAATTAAAGGTACTGAGGAGAAGGTTGCTTTTTTGGAGCAGTGTAGACAATCACTTTTGATGGAGCAAACTCTGTGAGATGCAAGATATAAAAAAAATGAGCAAATTAAGGAAATGATTGTTTAAATATGTGTTTCTAAAGAACAAAGGAAGAGCTATGTCTCTTTATGTAAAAGTGTTCACTGTTCATTAAGATCTGAAAAGAACTGGAAGAAGTTGAGACAAGGAAATATCATACCAATATTTCAGTATAAATTATTTCAGTCTGCTCTCTTTTGTAAGACATCAGCTTTGATTTAAAGTTTCTGGACTATATTAAATCCCATTATGTTCTAACCTGGCAATTCTAGCTTAATTTGTGTTATCAACTTTTGAAATAAACCAGTATCATACAGAGACCATGGCTAAATATAAGCCAAGATCCTGACAAGAAGAATGGGGAAAAATTTGAAAATTACTTAGTGCAGATATTCATTCCTGATTTATAACATACATGGGCCATTTGCATAATTGAAGTTATCGAGCTGTTTGGATATATTCAGGTTTTCATGGGAAGGCATAGGAGAAAAAGTTGCTCAAAAAACTAAGACTATTTGGAAGAAGTTTAACAATAAACAATGGTTTGTTATGAAACCAATAAATATATTTGATCTCTTGTAACTAAAGTGTGGAAGGGAAGTTTTTAAGAGCCAAGATCTGCTTTCTTTTTGTTTTAGCAACCACACACAATAGTGATTTAAAGAAATCTGAAAGAACTCAGTGGGAGGCGCCACAAATGCCTGCCATGCTTGTGGAAATGCTCGTGTGAGAGGGACCACAAACACCCACAACGCTCATGGCAACGTTCACATGAGGCTGTGCGCACATGCATACATCAGCCAGTCACTTACATGGCCCGGTAGTGGCCCACAGCTCACAAGTTGATGACCCCTACTCTAGGTTATGTTTGAACCAAGGCTATTAAGGCCTAAAATTTACATCAGTTGTAAACTGTAATGAGAAAGGTGCCTTATATCTATAGTCTGTGAATCTTTACATGGAACCAATGCCATCAAAGAGAGTGAAATTTATTTTTGTGCAAACATATTTAGAAAAGAAAGCATCAAACAAAGAGGCTTCAAATAAGAGGCTCATTGGACTCTATGTCCAGCAGTACAAAGGAGTTGCCTTTAAGGAAAGAGCAGGAGTAAATGGGGAAAAAATAACTTAAAGCTTTTGCAAGAGAGGAGGATTACATGAGACAGTGTAAAGATCAAAGAAGCATCAGGATTGTGAGCTCTAAAGAAAGAGTCTGGAAATTGCAATAAAAGAGTAAATGTGTAAGGAAGAAAATATTGGAAGGAAAATATTTTCCTCCTTTCTTATTTTCCTTAAGATATAAGAAAACATTTGTGGATATACTTGGAGAATATTGGAAGGTAAATAAAGAAGTGCTTTTTTTGGCTAACTCATCAGCTTGAAACTAGGGTAAGTTTTTAATTTTGAATAAGAACTGGAAAGTAAATATGAATATATCAAGAATCCTTTACAGAGGATTACTTAAAGTAAATTAGACTTTAATCTTAAATACACTGGTCCTCAGAATCAACTGCCATGAATTCAATGAGAGTATATCTGGGCAAACATAATTTTCACTATTCTGGAAATTAGAAAATATAGTCTCAGTTTAATCAAACAGAGAAAATCACAGCTTTGAGCGCTAGCTAACTTTTCTCTTTTCATGTTTAACCTATGATATTTTTATTTATTTATTTAGCCTGCTTGCCTACTTCCTTGGGCTACAGTAGCGGCCAAAGTTGTAGAAACCTTTTGGGAAAAGTGTATTTTTGAGGTTTGATGGCTAATAACATCACTTTTTTTTTGGGAGTAGTACCATAAAATTCTATATTAATAGAAAGATAATTTAATCAAGAATCTAATGCAGCAAAGTTTGTTCAATTATCTGTACTGTATTCTATGAAAAGTTATAGCCAAATAACCAGAAAAAGGAAGCACAACTTGCTTAAGTTGATATCAGATAGCTTTCCTTCATCTGATTGTAGCCAATGAGCATGAGTGTTTAGAGAGGCAATCTGATGTCATCTTGTTTTGGCAATGAGCCAATCAGATTATAGTAGGATTCAGTTATTGATGTCATGTATTGAGCTAAAAGGCGGACATTTGTCAGTGTGTTATGTGATCACTATCAAGTTGGTTGGGTTTTTTTTTTTGTGTTCTTTCATTTAGTGAGCTTGTAAAACGTAATCAAATTGAAGTAATGGTGCAAAGAGTTGACTGGTCGCCCAGAAAGCGATTAAAATAATATTATTAAGTGAACAAGGTACAGTTATAAAGAAATTAGAAGAAAATTGGTGGAAACTTAACCAAAGATGGTATTTCTACTGTACACTTTTCTCAAAAGGTTTCCACAATTTTGGCCACTACTGTATATGTAACCCGGTTCACAATCATTCAAGCTTATTTTTGCACATTGAATACAGTCTTCCTAAAATTAATTTCAACTTATCTTGATGAAAATATTTGCAGCAATCATATGACAGAAGAACAGAAAATAGTCCAGGGTCTTTGGAACAAAAATGTGGTTTTCTTGAATTTGATTTGTTGTGATATTTAAGATCAACTTTGGTGCTTTGTAAACCATAGTTTGTGTGTTAATATAATAATAGCAACTCATAGCAACTAGTAAAATAGTTTAAAAATTGCTACATCCAAAAGCCCAAAATAAATTGTTGGCTTCAAAATACATCTCTAAAATTGGATTTAGCTCATCATGTTTAAAATGAAAACATTTCACTGAATGCATTTCCATTAAGCCTTTATCAGTAGAGTTCCATTATTTTTTGTAGATTCTATTTCCTGATCTAGCCTACTTTGAAGCACTGATATTATACAAATGTTATTAATACCATGTCAGAAAATATTTTTATGTAAAATCTTGCATTTTGCACTTTCTTTTTCATCTGGGATATATGTTTGTGGAATAGAGTTAATGCTCTCAGTTGTAAACAGATATTAAAGATTTCTGGTTTACTATGAAGAAAGGAAATCTAATCTTAAATTGCTTTAAATGTACAGTTGATATCAGGTTAAGTATTTCATCTAGAGAATTTTTCTAAAGTGAATGTGTTAAGTCCTGAGAACAATAAAAACGCCTGAAGGCTCATCTTGAAGCAGATGGTACTTTATTGCCAATAGCAACTTCAACACAGCGGCAACTGAAGGCACGCAGGCCTCTCTTATCAGCTAAAGGTCCCAAACACAATGGCAACAATTGCCAAGTGCTTTCACGCCTTGCGCATGTGCACAAGGCTGGCGCCACTCAGTCTGGTCCCGGGCAGCTTCTGCAATTGCCCAGGACCATTGCAAAGATTATGTAAAGTAACTGTTTTAAGATCAGTGACTGTTTACATGGCAGAACATCTTTCCAGAAATTAATTCAGAGTTCTGTATAGCAGAAGTTTCTTGTGCTTTGCATAGAAAGGAACTCATCCTGTAATCTCATGTTGGAGTTTTTGGCTAGTTTTTTGCAGGGAACTGATGGTGATAAGTTGCAGAATTTTAAAGAGATGCATTTCTTGTTATCTGTCCGATCTTAACTGGTAACAAAGATTTCTTTCTCCTTTTCACAAATCAGAAGAGCTATTAGTGACACTCAAGACAGAACTATTTCTTCCTAATGAAATTTGTTTGATTTCATATATCCTCCATAGTTAACAACAGGGCATTGACTAAGTCACAGTATGACTGGGCCTATGCAGCATAAACCATTAACGTCATCTATAAATACAGTGGCTACATTCATACATTGCTGTTAACCAAATCCAAGGAAATGAGTTGATGATTTAGCTAAGTATCTGAATCCAGGCAATATAATATTGACTGCATTGTCAGGATTCACAAACTTACATAGCTAAATCATTGGATTAGATCTGATTCAGTTCCATTTTTACCTACGGAAACTCGCTGTGTGGCTTTAAACAGAATTCTGCCTTAATCAAGTTTGTGACATAGGATTGTTGTTGATGAAAAAATATTCTTAAGTAAATTGTCCTGAACTTCTAGAGGAAAGACAGAATATAAACTGACTAAAATAAAATTAGTTCAGGGAAATATAAGCAAACAGAGAAATTCAAATTCAATCCTGGCCTATCTACTTTGGTAGGGATAGCATCAAATGTACCTGGATGCAGACTCATATTTCACTTAACATTTTTAAACTTCTTTCTTTTTATGAAGCTTCCCAATCTGGTGTGCTTCCAGTGGGTTGGATGAGAACTTCAATAAACCCAAAACAGTATGTCCATTCTGCCTGAGAATTATGGGATTTTAAAAAAAGCTGCTTTATATATTGCTAAATCTTTTTAGTCAGCTTTAATACTAAAAGAAAACCTCACATGAGGAAGACTAAAAAGACTAAAAAGCTTTAAGGTGAAAACAGCTATGGAGAACTGGATCATGTTCTGAAGTGACTGGTTCTTTGCTCTAATTTCTTTTATTAATTTTATCTTCTGGTATTGTTCCTTGCAGAGAGTGAATCTGTCCTTCGATTTTCCATTTTATGGCCATTTCCTACGTGAAATTACTGTTGCAACTGGGGGTAAGTGGCTTCTTTACAGTTCACTTTGAATAAATCTGACAAAAATCTGACATTTCAGATCAAGTAGATTTCCTTCATATTTTAAGGAAATGCAGAGCTTGCATTAGCCAGTATGTGAGGATACATTCAAATTCAGTCTATTTTTTATGCAAGCATCTCTCTTCCTCCTCCCACCTCTTTCTCTCTCACACACACACATACAAAATCTAATCCTTTTGAATGAGTTTCTTTTTTCTTTGCCTGAACAATCAAATATGATCTAGGAAAGAGAAGGTGTCTTTTACTGGAGAAAAAATATGGTTGAAAATGTCACATTTCCTCATACATGACTGAGATAACATCATGTAATAGGCTGTAAAAATCACCTTGAGAGACAGGAGGAAGAGCTGCAACTTAGACAATGGTCTCGTAAATTAAATCTGAATCCAAAGCAGGAATGGGGTTGAGAAAGCATTTCAGAACTGACCCTTCTTGTTCTCTGAAATGTAAAGGCGGGGTGGGGAGGCAAGCACTTTTGGACTTGCAAAGTTCTATTACTGTATTTGTACAATGAAATTGGTGTTAGTGTTCTTGGATTTGGTTTCCTGGTTTGGACTACTTTGAAGAGCTGAGACATCAATAATGAGCAGTAGCTGTACCCTATTTTTATGATCTCATTCTTTGCCAATTCCTCACTATCCAATGGGATTGCTACTAGCATAGGATTTTAGGCCAAAAACTGCAATTAATTCTATACTTGAAGTTGCCCAATTCTGGAGATTTTTAAAAAAACTAGATTAATTTAATACTGCTTAGTTCTGTTTTCATCAGCTTGTATTTCTTTGTTCATTATAATTTTTTTTACTGGCTATATTTTTTTTTTTTGACCCTCGATTAATGAAAAAGGAGAGAGGGGGAAAAGAGCCAACACTGATTGCTGGCTCATTTGGGCAATTAGTGTATACTTGTCCTCAATTCTTATTTTGCGAAGGTTATTTGACTCCCATGTCTGATGAAAATCAGTTTGTATTGCCATTAATAATGTAATTAATTGTTCTAGAGGTGGATATATCATATGGGATTCCTATGAATACTAATTCCAGAAACTGGGAAACTACTAAAGGCCTAAACGTTTTGTAATAATAAGAAAGACCGTCTAACATAAAATTTCAGATACTGGCTTAGGGGAAAAATAAGCACCAAGCTTCCAATTAGGTTCCTTAATTTTAACATCCATGCTGAGGGGCAGGAGTGAAAGTCAGAAATGAAAGAGCTTAGCTGTCCAAAATTCAAACCTAGTGGTCCCAATACTGAGCCTGGGTGTGCAAGCTTAAATGAAAGCCACAGGATAAACTTTACATTGAGTACTTAATTAACATTTTGTTTGGTTCTAACAACATAAAATAATTTTCATCAGACTGTTGTTGTTGTTGTTGTTAATTGCGAAGTCGTGTCCGACCCATCGCGACCCCATGGACAACGTTCCTCCAGGTCTTCCTGTCCTCTACCATCTTCTGGAGTCCATTTAAGTTCACACCTACTGCTTCAGTGACTCCATCCAGCCATCTCATTCTCTGTCATCCCCTTCTTCTTTTGCCCTCAATCTTTCCCAGCATTAGGCCCTTCTCCAGTGAGTCCTTCCTTCTCATTAGGTGGCCAAAGTATTTGAGTTTCAACTTCAGGATCTGACCTTCTAAAGAGCAGTCGGGGTGGATCTCTTCTAGGACTGACCGGTTTGAACGCCTTGCAGTCCAAGGAACTTGCAGAAGTCTTCTCCAGCACCATAGTTCAAAGGCTTCAATTCTTTGGTGCTAAGCCTTTCTTATGGTTCAACTTTCACAGCCATACATTGCAACTGGAAAAACCATGGCCTGGACTATACGCACTTTTGTTGGCAGGGTGATGTCTCTGCTTTTTAGAATGCTGTCTAGATTTGCCATAGCTTTCCTCCCCAGGAGCAAGCGTCTTTTAATTTCTTGGCTGCAGTCCCCATCTGAGATGATCTTTGAGCCCAGAAAAATAAAATCTGTCACTACCTCCATTTATTCCCCATCTATTTGCCAGGAATTGAGAGGGCCAGATGCCCTGATTTTGGTTTTCTTAATGTTGAGTTTCAAGCCAACTTTTGCATTCTCCTTCTTCACCCGCATCAAGAGGGTCTTTAGTTCCTCTTCACTTTCTGCCATTAGAGTGGTATCATCTGCATATCTTAGGTTGTTGATATTTCTCCCGGCAATTTTAATTCCAACTTTTGATTCATCTAGCCCTGCCTTTCTCATGATGTGCTCTGCATATAAGTTAAATAGGCAGGGCGACAGTATACAGCCTTGCCGGACTCCTTTTCCAATTTTGAACCAATCAGTGGTTCCGTGTCCAGTTCTCACTGTTGCTTCCTGACCCGCATATAGGTTTCTCAAGAGACAAATGAGATGGTCTGGTACTCCCCACTTGCCACAATTTGTTGTGATCCACATGATCAAAGGCTTTTGCATAGTCAATGAAGCAGAAGTAGATGTTTTTCTGGAACTCCCTAGCTTTCTCCATGATCCAGCGTATGTTGGCAATTTGATCTCTAGTTCCTCTGCCTCTTCGAAATCCTGCCTGTACTTCTGGTAGTTCTCGATCCACATATTGCTGGAGTAGCTTGTAGGATTTTAAGCATAACTTTACTAGCATGTAAAATGAGTGCAATGGTGCGATAGTTTGAACATTCTTTGGCATTGCCTTTCTTTGGAATTGGAATGTTAACTGACCTTTTCCAATCCTGTGGCCACTGTTGAATTTTCCAAATTTGCTGGCAAATTGAGTATAGCACTTTTACTGCATCGTCTTTTAAGATTTTGAATAGCTCAGCTGGAATACTGTCACCTCCACTAGCTTTGTTGTTGCTCAGATTTTCTAAGGCCCATTTCACTTCACATTCTAGGATATCTGGTTCGAGGTCAGTGACCATCTCATTGTGGTTATCTGGGACATTAAGCTCATTCTTGTATAGTTTTTCTGTGTAGTTTTGCCATCTCTTCTTAATCTCTTCTGCCTCTGTTAGGTCCCTGCCATTTTGGTCCTTTATCATGCCCATCTTTGCATGAAACGTTCCCTTCATATCTCCAATTTTCTTGAAGAGATCTCTGGTCCTCCCTATTCTGTTGTTTTCTTCTATTTCTTTGCACTGTTCATTTAAGAAGGCATTCTTATCTCTTCTAGCTACTCTCTGGAATTCTGCATTCAGTTGGGTGTATCTTTCTCTTTCTCCTTTGCCTTTCGCTTCCTTTCTTTCCTCAGTTATTTGCAAAGCTTCCTCAGACACCCATTTTGCTTTCTTGCATTTCTTTTTCTTTGGGATGGTTTTAGTTGCTACCTCTTGTACAATGTTGCGAACTTCCATCCATAGTTCTTCAGGCACTCTATCTATCAGATCTAATTCCTTAAATCTGTTTGTCACCTCTACTGTGTATTCATCAGGAATATGATTTAGTTCATACCTGAGTGGCCTAGTGCTTTTCTTTACTTTTTTCAATTTAAGCTTAAATTTTGCAACGAGAAGCTCATGATCTGAGCCACAGTCAGCTCCTGGTCTTGTTTTTACTGACTCTATAGAGCTTCTCCATCTTTGGCTGCAGAGCACATAGTCAATCTGATTTCTATGTTGACCGTCTGGTGATGTACATGTGTAGAGCTGTCTCTTGGGTTGTTGGAAAAGAGTGTTTGTTATGACCATCATATTCTCTTGACAAAATTCTATCAGCCTGCGCCCTGCTTCATTTTGTACTCCAAGGCCAAACTTGCCTTATCTTTTGGCTTCCTACCTTAGCATTCCAATTCCCCATGATGATAAAGACATCATTTTTGGTGTTAATTCTATAAGGTGCTGTAGGGCTTCATAGAACCGGTCAATTTCATCCTCTTCAGCACCAGTGGTTAGGGCATAGATTTGGACTATCGTGATATTGAATGGTTTGCCTTGGATTCGAATTGAGATCATTCTGTCATTTTGGGGATTGTATCCCAGTATTGCTTTTCCTATTCTTTTATTGACTATGAAGGCTACTCCATTTCTTCTGAGGGATTCTTGCCCACAGTAGTATACCTGATGGTCATCTGAGTTAAATTCACCCATTCCTGTCCATTTTAGTTCGCTGATTCCTAAGATGTCGATGTTCAGTCTTGTCATCTCTTTTTTGACTACGTCTAGCTTGCCTTGATTCATGGATCTTACATTCCAGGTTCCTATGGAGAAAAAATCTTTACAGCATCGGACTTTCCTTTCACCACCAGATATATCCACAGCTGAGCGTCCTTTCGGCTTTGGCCCAGTCGCTTCATTCTTTCTGGCGCTACTAGTACTAGCCCTCTGCTCTTCTCCAGTAGCATATTGGACACCTTCCGACCTGAGGGGCTCATCTTCCAGCGTCATATCTTTTTTCCTTTTAGTACTGTCCATGGGGTTTTCATGGCAAAGATACTGGAGTGGTTTGCCATTTCCTTCTCCAGTGGATCACATTTTGTCAGAACTCTCTGCTATGACCTGTCCGTCTTGGGTGGCCCTGTATGGCATAGCTTATAGCTTCATTGAGTTACGCAAGCCCCTTCGCCACAACAAGGCAGTAATCCATAAAGGGGTTCATCAGACTATAGCAGTACTTTTCAGATATAAGAAGTTAATAGCCTAGATGGTTTTTCTGGATTTGGAGTGTAAAATATCTTCTAGTCAAGATATTTTACAAGATATTAATACTTGCATTATTATGTTTAGCTGATTAATTTTATTAGTTTTAATCTTTTCAGTGTTCAGTTCAGTGATCTTACCTGCATAGACCCTCATTCAGATCTTTAAAAAAAATTAAAGGATTTACCAGATATTTACTAATTTCAAACTTAGAACATGTGCACATTAGTCCAAATATAGTCCATTTTGTAATAGTAAAAGCAAAGAAGAATTATTGCATTAATTTTTCTTTTTGTGTAATTACCAATAAAATGCAAAACATTGCGTTTATCTTTCTTAAAATGCACTGGTCTAT